CTGTGACCTTAAGAAGGAGGAACTCTTGGCCCCGAAGCCACTGAGGAAGCAGGAGCCAGAAGCAAAAAGCATTGTGGTATCTGCAGTATCGGGTGCTGCTGGTCATCTCACCTTCTTACTATCACCTTCCTGAGCCACCCATTGCTGTAACAACTCCACCCCGTTCTGTGTTCCAGGACAATTCCCTTCCACCTCCCTTCAGGGCACAGATCAAGGGTGTTAGTTTTACAGAAGTAGTTGCTTTTTTTTTTTTTCTCACTTTTGGTGATGCCAAAAGGTAACCTGTGATATGGAAGCTTGACAGGGAGGGAAAAGCATTTAGCATCTTCCCAAGTGCACACAAGGAGTTGTTGCCTGCTTGTAAATCCAGCCCCCCAAAATGTCTTTCTTTGCTCCTCACAGAGAAATAGGGCGGCTCATAGAGCTGTTCACAACATCTCCGATTAGGTAGGCTCTAAAAGAATCTTATAAAGTTGGGAGAGAGAAGAGGGACTACAGAAGAGTAAGGAGCAAATACAGCCCCTTTGGAAAATGACTGAAATGGTCAGATACTGGGAAGTTTGGATTTTCAACCTGTCTCCAGTACACAAGTGCAGATCTCCAGGAAGAGCTGGGCTAAGACCCCCCGCAGGGTGGCCCAGGAGGAGACGAAGCAGCTGTTTCCAGCTGGAAGGAGGCTCACGCAGAAGGGAAGGGGAGCCATATGGGAGAAAAGGAGCCAGTGTTTGCAAGGTCAGGGATTTCACATTTTCATATGACTTGAAGCACTCAGTCCTCACAGGAGTACTTGGAAGTAGCATTTCATTTTGAGGAAACTAAGACTCGGGGTGTTGAAGCCATTGCACAAGACCAGAATGCATTGCAGACACCCAGCAGGGAGCAGAGGGTCTCAGGGTCCTCATGGAGTCCCAGTGCTGGTACAGTTTCTGAAAATTTGAGCTCTCCAGGCCACAAGCACAGACACAGCAAGGTCTACCTCACCTTCCTGTTGTCAACCTCCCACTGTCCCATTTGGCCGGAGCGTCTATGAGCACTCATGCTCTGGGGGCAATGAAGGGTGTGGTCTCAGCACGCCCACCAGTTCAAATCTCATGCCCACAAACAAATGACAAAGTGCCCCCCTAGAGGATTCTATTCATGTGAGGGAAGCAGTGAAGTGTAAGCTAGAGTTACGAAGAATCCCAGTTCACTGCGTTTCTGATTTGGGTAGGTCATTTTCTCTTTGAGCCCTCATTTTCTCCACCTGCTTACAAATAAAGCAGCTGCTTTTCAATTATTTTATTAACTGTAAGATAGCTATAATTAGCTGCAGCAATAAAGCTCTTATAAGGATTAAGTAAAGTGGTCTAAAGACACTAACATATATCGGGTGTTTAACACACGTTCCCTAGCCTTGCAACTCAGTCACATCTTCCCCGTGATAGGAAGTGCAAACCATAACACTAGTCAAGGAGAAAGTTTTTCCCAACCGGAGCTGGTTCCTTACCTCATGATATAATCATTTTCAGCTTTTAACTACCTTTTCCTAAGAGATATTCATGGACCTCTAAAGAGCAAATTTTTAGAAAAAAAGGAGCAAAAGATATCAGAGTTTGGGGGAAGACCAGTCCCACATTTCAGGGACTCATCATCAGCTGCCATATTTTTAGTGATCTCTTTGTCCATAACCTCTTCCCATGCAAGACTTGTTCTTAGAAAAAGCAAGGCAAAAGGCACCTTTGCAAATAGGGCTGAAACAATTACTTTTGGATGACCTTTGAGCAAAATCAGGTAGATTTATTGGTGCAGGAGCTTTCTGTTTACACATCGCTCCAAGCCAACAAAAGTGAAGATTATAATTGTAGATTTCATTAGCATTCGTGTTAGAAAATAAGTAACCAGTATACTAAAATTGATCCCTTCAGGAAATGATTTAATTTTTTCAGTGTGATAGTAAGATACTATTACTTTAGTTCTCACTTTGAATACTGGATGTGCTCTCACACCATGACAAGCAACACAAAAGACTACAAAGGTACGTGAACTTATCCCCACTAGCACGCCAGCAAGCCAGCTAGCAGCTCTGTGGCAGATGACTGCTGGCAGTCCCGTAAGTCAGTTCTACCAGTCTACCTGAAGCCGTTATCAGAGCCCAGCAGTTAAGGGCTCCGTTCAAGACTGTAGTCTCCGGACTTCAGATGCCGGCAGCAGGTCAAGTTGACTCACCTGTACTTCTGGCTAACCAGTAATAAATTAAGGCTTATCTTATGGCTTGATGGGTTCAATAAATCGATCTGTTATAAAGGACACTAAAAAGGACACAGATAAAGAGATACTGGGTAAGGAAGGGGTGGAGGTGGGGATAGGGAGAGAGCTTCCATGCCTTCCCTGGGAACCTGCGCATCCAAGAGCCTCCACACATTTAGCAACAGGAGCTCTCTGAAAACTCTTCCTGAAGACTTCCCTGCTCTGGTATGATGAATGCAAGGACAACCACACCAACTGTGACCGGACAAAAATAGGATATTCTGATAATAGACCGGTTGGGGAAGCCTATCAAGGCAGGCCTATTATTCTATCTTAGCATCTCTGGGCAGCATTCCTCCTCCAAAGGATGGAACTCTGTAATAAGACTCTTGCACACTCCACCATCAGATAAAGTAGATTGTCAGAACACACAGGTGGGGAAAGATTAGCATTTTATGACCCACTTTGGGGAAGAAATTTTACTTTCTATAGTCTGTTTTGCGGAGGGATTTATAAGACAAGAACCATAACTGAAAACCAAATTTACATACATGCATACATACATATATATAACAATATCCTGCTGAGTAAGAAATTTTACTAGTTGCATGAGCTGAACAGTGAATGGTTGAAAACAACTTTCGCTTCCTCAAAAAGAATGAGATTATGAAACAGGTTTTGCTTAGAAATAACAGGGTTGTAAGTTTTCCAGTTACAAAAAAAGATGTTCAGTTAACTTCCTCTGTTTTTCTGCAGAGTGTTGAGTGGTGTTTAAATTTGCTTCAATTTTCTGTACCACAAGACACTGGGGCTGAAAGTAGCCTGTGGTGACATCTGCTCTCTATGGTCACATAATAGGATACTAGTGTCTGTTTCAACAAGAGCCATCCTCCAGCAAGAGACTGCAATGAGAAGAACCGCTGCCTTCTACCTGCTTGGCTAAACCGTGAGATCAAAGATGGTCAGAGCAGCCTGCCTAGGGGGGCGAAGAAGGTAAGAAATGGTCTACAATGCCTAGGTCATACTTGGGTTAATCAGGTTAAGATGAATCTCTCAGAATCAGAAAACGTATGGTGCTGTCTTCGTGTTACACTAGTTCTGGTTCTTTTTCTCAATCCTGACTTCAATGACACGTTCCAAGCTTCTTGTTCTAATATGCCATGTATTTGCCCTAAGCAAAGAATCTTCAGCTTACAAAATTTATGAGAAATTGTCCTGCATATTAGAGAAAAACTTGAGCAGGCATTGCGTCCTATATGGTAATAACTGCTTATTCAAAAGCAGGACATGGCTCCAGCTACAAAATTGGTTTCCAAGAAGTGTTAGGACATGCAGCATGCTGAAAGCCCAGGGACCTTCCCGTCTTGTTAACAGCTACACATATTGCTTCTTGGCCTTTTGGTTAAGATTCAGTGTCAATAGCTACACAGTCCTGTTGACCAAGCCTCCAGTGGTTCTCAGAGTAAGTCCCTCCTGTACATCTACAAGTTTCAATATAGCTATCTGCTTAAAGATCTCTAGAGATCAGATTGAGTTCAATAGAGGGGAAATTATATAAAATCAAAGCTTGACAATTGCATGGTAGGCCATTCTTACAGAATGATTACTTTATTAAAAGTTAAATGATATAATCACACCATGCTTGTCCAGCATTTCTTGCCATTCATATTTATCAGGTATCAATACTTAGTATTCTAAGTGTTGAAGTTTCTCTAATGTTTGTGGCAGACAAGCAGAGCTCAATTAATCAACAAAAACATTTTGAGGGTCCAGCGCCATGGCCTAGCAGCTAAAGTCCTCACCTTGAACGCGCTGAGATCCCATATGGGCGCCGGTTCTAATCCCGGCTGTTCCACTTCCCATCCACCTCCCTGTTTGTGGCCTGGGAAAGCAGTCGAGGACAGCCCAAAGCCTTGGGACCCCGCACCAATGTGGGAGACCTGAAGGAGATTCCTGGCTCCTGGCTCCCGATTGGCCCAGCACCAGCTGTTGTGCTCACCTAGGGAGTAAATCATCAGACTGAAGATATTTCTCTCTGTCTCTCATCCTCTTTCTATATATCTGACTTTACAATAAAAATAAATAAATCTTTAAAAAAAAAAACATTTTTGGCCTGACACAGTAGCCTAGAGGCTTAAGTCCTCGCATTATACGCGCTGGGATCCCAGATGGGTGCCAGTTCATATCCAGGCTCTTCCACTTCCCATCCAGCTCCCTGCTTGTGGCCTGGGAAAGCAGTCAAGGATGGCCTTGGGACCCTGCACCTGTTGAGACCTGGAGGAGGTTCCTAGCTCTTGGCTTCAGATTGGCTGAGCTCCGGTCATTGTGACTACTTAGGGAATGAACCAGTGGAAGCAAGAGCTTTTTCTATCTCTCCTTCACTCTTTATATCTGACTTTCCATCAAAAATAAGTAATAAATCTTAAAAAAAAAAAAAACATTTCTAAAGACTGACTTTGAAATCAGTCATTTTGGAGTCTAAGTAGATGCTTTCAATGAAGACAACACTTCACACACCCTCATCCCCATCAGCTTTGGTGGATGCTTGGAGTAAATTAAAACCCAATGTGATACCACTAAGTAGCCAAACCACCTAAAAGTCACCTGTTACTTCTTAGCAGGAAGAAAATTAAAAAGCCTGATAAGTGACTTCAATAACACAAAGCAATACAACATTCTACTATTTGCTTGGCAGCTAGCTGGCAGGCAGGGGGATGGGGGGTTGGGGAGTAACCAACACCGGATCAGAATTCAAGAAATCAAGACACACTTACGATCATGATAAATGTGCCCAAGAACTCAGAGACGATTTCTTTAGCTAAGCTGCTCTTCAAGACCAATCTCTGTTTGAAGCTCTTCTTGTGTCCCTTCTCCGGCTGCATCTTGGAGCTTCCCCGAGGACCACTCTGGCTACCAGCTCCTTCTGGTTCACACCACGTCACCGGCACAAGACAACTTTGTTCAGCTGATTCCTCAGATTCGTCGCAGGGATGTCGGATGGAATTCTCTGCAATTAAAGGCTCTGATTAAATTCTCCTCTGGTGACACTGTCTTGCCCTAGTCACTGCTCTGTTTGAATTAACAAATGCAACCTGAAAGTTCCAATGAAATCTTTGTGTTAATAATTACCTTTATTCTCAAAGTATTTCTCTCTCTCTCTTTTTTCTTTGATGAGAAGAGAAGAGAGATGTCGTGTGGGTTGTGTTGCCAAACCACAGTGATGGGCCCTGGTCCAGAAAAGATTCAGGTGTTACACAACCGCAGGCTTCTGATTTTTTTTTTTTTTTCCTATTCGGAAGTGGGTGGTTGGGTGTAGTTTAGAAATCTCAAATTAGGTAAATAAATATGCAATGTAAACACTCTTCACTAAAAAAAAGTTTTCCTGCGAACTAGAGAATACAAAGAAAAAACAGATTCATTTTCCACCAAAATGAATCACTCTCACTTCCTCCCAGGATGATTACAGTGACTTCTTGACACCATTCTGAGGATAATGAGAACTTGTAACACTGCTAGACAGAGAAACTGACATGCTGAGGGATAGCACAACAGCTCAGTTGGCTAATCCTCCAGCTTGCAAGCACCAGCATCTCATATGGGAACCAGTTCATGTGCTGGCTGTTTTACTTCCCATCCAGCTCCCTGCTTGTGACCTGGAAAAGCAGTAGAGGATGGCTCAAAGCCTTGGGACCCTACATGCAAATGGGAGACCCAAAAGAAGATAATGGCTCAGCTTTGGCTGTTGTGGCCATTTGGGGAATCTTTCTCTCTGTTTCTCCTTCTTTCTATAAATCTGCCTTTCCAATAAAAATAAATCTAGAAGAAGGAAGGGAAGAGAAGGGAAGCGAAGGGAAGGGAAGGGAAGGGAAGAGAAGGGAAGGGAAGGAAGAAAGATTGAGTCATCTCCCTAGAGACTGAAAGAAGGCAACCTCATGAGCTTCTTCTACAGAACACTCCAGTTTGCAAACCAAGCTATGCTCCTCCATTTACCTTAGAATATTTAAACCAAATAAGTAGGAGAAAAAAAACCCAATATCAGCATGGAGATATCAGTATGGAGATGACTGAGCCAGAAAGAAATCACCTGAGTATATGCATCCTGAAGCAAATAGGAAAGGAAGTAACATGCCTGGTGAAGGCTCACAGAATAGTCTGCTTGAATTTGATGATGAGTTTGTTGCATTACCATCCCAGCAAGCAACAGACCACATTTGGGACTAGTGGACCCCTGCTTCTCAAAGTTGATTTGTCTTTCAAAATAGAATTCAGCAGTTTTTGAATACTACAGTGGGAACCCCCCGCACCCACCACCCGGAATCACTACCCACGCCTGCCCACTGGTGTGCTTTCTCCCAACCTCCCACAGAGTAGCCAGCTCTGTTCCAAGCTCTCCCCTACCTTTGCAGGAGGCCTTCGCTCATTTCCAGCTGAGAAGGCAGCCAGGCAGACAAGCAGGTTCGAAGTGAAGAGGAAGCAGCTGGGGCAAAACCCAAGGGAAAAGCAGACACTATCTGTAGGTGAAATATCAGGTTGAGATCTAACAGAGCTATAAGTGGTTTAAATTCACACTCTAGCAGAACCTGGTGGAACCCCCTGCATTTGGCCTCCAACTCCCGATCAGCACAGATATCATTGTCTATAAGAGTTACATATGGCCACATGACTCCCTGCTCTCAGTGGATGGACCAGAGAAACAGGACTTTATTAGTGTGACTACACCTAATAACACACGAAGTTGTTCTCTGCTCTCTTTGTTCATTCATCTGACAAATATTTATGGCACACTTATTATGTCTGGCGCACTGTACTTGGCAAAATCGCATCAGGCTCTTGTCCTCAGAATCAAGACCTAGTTAAGGAGAGACCTAAGCGAGACATACACATCAGACATACACAGATACAGCATCACAACTGAGATGTAAAGACAGCAGCCATTCAAGGGTACTTGAAAAGTTGTGCAAAATGAAAACAAATGATGCATTGATTTGGACACACAAAGTTTTGAAATCCATGCACATGAGGTGTTTTCAACAAGGTCACAAAAAAATGTATACTGTAAAAAAAAAAAAAAGTCCCTTTTAATTACACGTTCCATGAACTTTTTCAAATACTCTCCTATTTTTTGGTAATTGAATCTGTCAAAAATTTCACCTTGTCAGAGAGCTCTTTGCTGGCTTTCTCCAAGGAGATGAGATCTGAGCTGATATCAGAAGAAATCCTGAAGGTGAACTACATAAGCTGGAGAAGGAAGTGTTAAGTAAAAAGACGGGGGTGTGGGTGGGGACAGCCAGATAGCCATCAAGGAGTGAAAGAAACGTCCAAGGTGGCTGGCTTTCAGAGTGAAGGTGCTGGTTGCAGAGCAAGTCTAAAGTCATTGCGCATGTGTCAAACTATGCTGAACATCCCAAGTGACAGAGGGCTAAAAGCCCAATATATGACATTGAGGTGATTTAAGTAGCAATAGAACACAGTCAAACTCAAGTTTTGAAATAATCATTTTAACTGTGTGGTAGAGAGCGAGTTGGAAGGGACCTAGGTGTGCACAGGTCTGACTGTCTGCGGATACTGAAAAATTCCTGGGACCAAATGCCAAAGCCTACGGGTTAAATCCTCGCCTTGCAGCAGCCAGGATCCCATACAGGAACCAGTTCATGCCCCTGCTGCTTCACTTCCCATCCAGCTCTCTCTCTTAGAAAAGCAGTAGAGTATAGCCCAAAGCCTTGGGACCCCGCACCAACGTGAGAGACCGAGAAGCATCGGATAGGACAGTTCTGGCCACTGTGACCACTTGAGGGATGAACCAGTGGACAGAAGAACATTCTTTGTCCTCTTTCTGTCTGTAAATTTGTCTTTCCAATAAAAATAAATAAATCTTGAAAGAGAAAGGAAAGAAGCAAGGAAGGAAGCAAGGGAGTCTGGTGCAGTAGCCTAGTGGCTAAAGTTCTTGCCTTGTATTCGCTGGGATCCCATACGGGTGCCGGTTCTAATCCTGGCTACTCCAGCTCTCATCCAGCTCCCTGCTTGTAGCCTGGGAAAGCAGTAGATAACCCAAAACCTTGAAACCCTGCCTCCGCATGGGAGACCCAGAAGGAGCTCTTGTCTCCTGGCTTTGGATAGGCTCATTTCTGGCTGCTGCAGTTACTTGGGTAGTGAACCAGTGGATGGAAGATCTTTCTTTATCTCTCTCTGTATATCTGCCTTGCCAATAAAAAATAATTTTAAAAAAAAATAGAAGGCTAGACTTGTAATCAAATCCAGCTTGCACAACATAAAGTAAGACATCAAGAGGGTGTATTTGGTTCTATTAATATAAAATGGAAACTCAGAATGAGGTGAGTATATTTTTTGTCTTGCTTTTTAAAGCACCTTTGGGCAGAGGCATACAACTTGTATATACTCTTAAAGGGGCTCCCCTTTTCTCTTCCCAACAGGGGCCCTTCCTAACTATTAGCACATCTGTCACAGTGGCATCTTCCTCAGCAAGTCAGAAACAAGGAACCAATTTTTTTTTTAAAGATTTGTTTATCTATTTTTGAAAAGTCAGATATACAGAGAGCTGGAGAGACAGAGAAGAAAATCTTAACCTCTGCTGATTCACTCCCCAAGCGGCCTCAACGGCCGGTGCTGTGCTGATCCAAAGCCAGGAGCCAGGAGCTTCCTCCAGGTCTCCCATCGGGCGCAGGGTCCCAAGGCTTTGGGCCGTCCTCTAATGCTTTCCCAGGCCACAAGCAGGGAGCTGGATGGGAAGCGGGGCTGCTGGGATTAGAACCGGCGCCCATATGGGATCCCGGTGTGTTTAAGGCGAAGATTTTAGCTGCTAGGCCACCGTGCTGGACCGGGAGATTTTATCTGCTCATGCAAAATTGCAACTAAGCGCTTATGAGAGATGTAGAAGAGGAAGTGACACAGTCCAGCCCCACTGAGAATGGCTGTGTGCCCTTAGAGGACACTGTTGGGGTCCCAGCACAATAGCGTAGTGGGAAGACACTAATGGAGCTAGGAATCCTGATGGGGTTTCCCAGGGACAGCGAAGACACCAAATGCTGAGCTTGAAATACCGACTATTTCATGCTTCCACACAGAGGATGCAATCTTGATTCTTTCATGTCACTGACGAGGTGACAGCCATTCCTTCAGCGCAAGGAATTTGCCATTAAATCTAACCTGAACTCACTCCCAAGCCTGCAACTGAGCAGGATATGCACCAGCAGCCTGAGAAGGTAAGCACGCTCACCTACCATCAAGCGGTACCCTCCTCTACTATTTTTTCGCTTGTCTAAAAAAATTCATCCATTGAGTATTCATGATGTGCTAAGCACATCATTAAGCCATGGAGTTTTTTTTTAAAAGATTTATTTTATTTTTATTACAAAGTCAGATATACAGAGAGGAGAAGACAGAGAGGAAGATCTTCTGTCCGATGATTCACACCCCAAGTGAGTGCAACAGTCGATACTATGCCGATCCCAAGCCAGGAGCCTCTTCTGGGTCTCCCACACAAGTGCAGGGTCCCAAAGCTTTGGGCCATCCTTGACTGCTTTCCCAGGCCACAGGCAGGGAGCTGGATGGGAAGTGGAGCTGCCGGTATAGAACCAGCACCCATATGGGATTCTGGGTGTGCAAGGTGAGGACCTTAACCACTGTGCCATCGCGCTGGGTTCAAGCCATGGAGTTTTAAAAATGAGGAAGATAGGGCCCAGTGCCTTGGCCTAGTGGCTATAGTCCTCACCTTGAACGTGCCATAATCCCATACAGGCACCGGTTTTAATCCCAGCAGTCCAGCTTCCCACCCAGCTCCCTGATTGTGGCCTGGAAAAACATTCGAGGACAGCCCAAAGCCTTGGAACTCTGCACCTGCATGGGAGACCTGGAAGAAGTTCCTGGCTCCTGGCTTCAGATTGGCACAGCATTGGCCATTGAGCTCACTTGGAGAGTGAATCGTCAGATGGAAGATCTTCCTCTCTATATATCTGACTTTGTAATAAAAATAAATAAATCATTTCAAAAAGAGGAAGATATGTCCCTGCTACTAAATAATTTAGTTTTAAAAATAAAGAATAAGTATTTTTTAAAGAGAACTCAGTCTAAATGACAGATATTTCAAATAGATACCAGAGACATGTGTTTGGGCTAATAGTAAATGCACCATTGGGATACCTATATCCCATATGAAATTACTGGATTAGAGTCTGGATCCAGCTCCCTGCCAGTGTA